AGGAGGAGCAGGAGGAGGAGGAGGAGGAGGAGGAGGAGCAGGAGGAGGAGCAGGAGGAGGACCTGCCCCAGGGCAGTCGCTCAGCACCGGGAGGCTGAGGCAGGAGGTTCGCAGCGCATTCGAGGCCAGCCTGGCTCCAGAGAGACCCTGTCTCAAAAGACCAGAAAAAGCCCAAGCCCTCCCGGGGGCTCGGCGCCGCGGCCCTGACTCTGTTTCCCCCGCAGGCAGGAGGAAGCTGCGGCTGTTCGAGTACCTGCTCGAGGCGCTGTGCACCCCCGAGCTGGCCGGCTGCATCCAGTGGGTGGACCGGCCCAGGGGCGTCTTCCAGTTCGTGTCCAAGAACAAGGAGCGGCTGGCCGAGCTCTGGGGCCGGCGGAAGGGCAACCGGAAGCCCATGACCTACCAGAAGCTGGCCCGCGCGCTGCGCAACTATGGCCGCACGGGGGAGGTCAGCAAGGTGCGCCGCAAGCTCACCTACCAGTTCAGCGAGGCCGCACTGCGCCGCCTGGGCCCCGCCACGCAGGACCCGCAGGAGCCGCGGGGGCCCGGCAGCTGGAGCTGGGGCAACGGCCTCGGCCACCCCTACGCCGGCTACTGCCGCCCGCCCTTCTAGGACGCCCGCCCCGCCGGCCTGGCCCCTGGCTGAGCTCCAGCTGGAGACCCACCTGCCTCAGCCTACCACCCGCCAGGCTGGATTCTTCTCTGAAAGCAAATCCACCAACCTTCGTATCCACCGAGCCCGAGTCCCTGGAACCTGCCAACCCCTGAGTTTTGCAAAGCTGTGCCTGTCCGCAGCATGGGCTTTCATCACCCTCTACAGCCATCTGCCCCGGGACCTCTGGCTCTGACCCAAAGTCAAAAGGACCACAAAGGGGAAATTCGGGACATCAAGGCAGCCACGACAGGGCAACTAAAGACACAAAAGAGGACGGGGGCGTGATGGTGCACACTTGTGATCTCAGCACTTCGGAGGCTGAGGCAGGAGGATCACGGAATTCAAAGCCAGCCTGAACTACGTACGGAGGCCCTATTTCACAAAAACCAAAAGTTAAAGAAATTATATTGCGGTGACACGGGCCTACTCATGTTTATGGAGCACAGCTCATAATAGCTAAATCTTGGAAGCAGCCCATATGTCCATCAAAGGGTGAATGGACAACAAAAAGCATGGCATTTACACACCATGGAGTACTACTCTGCCATAACGAAGGATAAATCTGAATCATTTGTAGGGAAATGGATGCACCTCGAGACCATGATGTTGAGTGAAATAAATCAGACACAAAGGCTTAAATATCACATGGTTTCTCTTATATGAACAACCCAATGCAGAAATAATTTAGAGAGGAAAATAAAAGATAATAGGAAACATGTTTGCCCAAGGGCAGGGGACCAAGGGAGGGAGGGGAGAAGGGCATAAAAAGAATGAAGATGAGTTATGTGCATGGACCAGCTCCCCGGGTACTGGGACATGCGCTAGGAAAAACAGAAATGAAAAACAAGGCACGTGGGGTAAATGCACAATGGAGTATCAGCCTGTCACGGTCTTTCTGTCGTTTGCAGGAAAATGGACAGAACTGGAGGCCACAATGCTAAGTGAAATAACCAGATCCAAAAGGACAATTTTTTCTTTTGCTTTTTGAGACAGTCTCACTGTGTTTTCCAAGCTGGCCTTAAAGCCACTAAGTAGCACTGGCTGGCTTTCAACTTGTGGCAATCCTCCTGCTTCAGCCTCCCAAGTACCGGGGTGAGAGTCAAGAAAAAAACGTAAGGGAAGAATGGAGCTTACCAGAGGCCCCAGTGGTCACTGGGTCCAGAGTGACATGGAAGGAACAAATGATATCTATTGTGTAGCACGGTGACATAGCAACCAGCATATTTCAAAATAGCTAATAGAAAAAAAAATAGCTAAGAGGATTTTGACTTCTGCTAGAAAATGGTTTCGATTTGGGGTGAGAGGCTGATGGCCCTGCGGCGGCCGCCCCGAAATCCACACACTCAGGGGTGATGTGACAGCTCAAGGACAGAGGACAGCGGTGACTGCCGTGGGGTGACAGCCTGACTGGACTGAGGCGCCACCCCGGCTCCCTTCAGGAGGACACCGGAGGCTGCGCCCCCGAACAGGGGCCGTGTTCCTTGCTGTCCTCAGCTCGGCCACAGGGAAGTGCTGTTGTCCCAGCCCTGAATGAGGTCTTTCTTCCGTTCAACCCGCACAGCTGAGCCAGGCTAAAGCACTTGGAAGGGAAAAGCACTGATAAGGTTAAAAGTTGGCTGGGGCGAGGTGGTGCACGCCTGTAATCCCAGCACTGGGGAGGCTGAGGCAGGAGGATCGAAAGTTCAAGCCCAGCCTGGGCAACTCACCGAGACCCTGTCTGAAAATATAAAAGGGCCGGGGATGGAGCTCAGCACAGAGGCCCTGGCCTGCAGCCCTAGCACTGAAAATGAACGGCATGGGTGAGGGAATGGGGGAGACCAGCCAGCCCCAGGGTGACGTGGCCTTTGGGTGTCCAGGCCCTAAGGCCTGAGCTCAAGCCCGCTGCTCCGCTTGGAACACAGTGCTTTCCTTCACCCAGGGCCACGGAAGGGGGAGAGGCACTTCCGGCCCTTTTCAGGCCCCTGGTCCCTGGCCTATGCCACCCAGTCCTCCATTCGGTCCCTTCCCTGTGGGGACAGCACAGCGAAGCCCCTGCCCCTTGAGCAGGAGCTCTGGGAGCCTGACTTCACCCCACCTTCTGAAAAAGGGTCTTGTTCTGCAGTTCAGGCTGGTCTGGAACTCACCATGTACCCGAGGCTGGCCTTGAACTCACAGCGACCCTCCTGCCTCAGCCTCCTGTGTGCTGGGATCACAGGCATGGGCCATCATGCCCTGCTGTGGCATCCCCCAATCACCCTGTTCAAACCCCACTTCCCTCCCTTGATCCGCTTCCTCTTGTGTGTTTCTCTTCTACTTTCATGTCTTTTCTTTTTTGAGACCTTTACCCTGTGTAACCCAGGCTGGCCCAGAACTCGTGATTCTCCTGCCTCAGCCTCCTGGGTTCTGGGTTTCAGCTGCTCACCACCATTCTGACTGAGAGGAGATGAAATTTTCTCAGTGTGGCTTTGATATGCCTTTCTCTGAGTGGTAAAATGTTAAACATCTTATTCTCGGGACTACTGGCCCCTGGTACCTTTTTATTCGGTACTGGGACGGGGACCAGGGCCTGGGGCATGTTAGGCAGGCACACCACCGCCAAGCTTTTATCCCTGCATTCTTCTGCTAAGAACTTTCTGCTCTGCCCATGTGCCCAGTTTCATGGGATTCTTTGTTCTCATATATTGTGGATATTAATCTTTGTCTGTTAGAAAAGGAGCCGGCAGAGACTCTCCTCATGTAGGCTCTTCAGTCTGCTCCCCTGGCTGAGCAGAAGCTTTGTAGTTTGATGCAATCCCACAACTCTTGGTATTATTTCCCAAGCTACTCGAGTCCCTCTTGGGAAGTCACTGCCCCGTCTGTATCTCCAAGTGCTTCTAGTGGCTTCAGAGTTTTCTTCTAGTGGCTTCAGAGTTTCAAGTCTTGTGTTTAGGTCTTTGATCCACTTTGATTGATTTTCGCACAGGGTAAGAGGATTGAGTTTCAACCTTCCACTTCAGGATAACCAGTTCTCCCCACACCATTTGGTAAAGAGGTTGTCTTTTCTGCAGTGCATGTTTGGGCCTCTTTGTCCAGAATCAGAGGCTGTGGCTGCAGGAGTTTATTCCCGTGCCCTCTGGTCTATTCTTGCGGGCCTGATGCTACCCAGTGCCAAGCTGGTTTTGTGACTACGGCTTTGATACTTCCAGCATTGTACTTTTTGCTCAGAGTTAACTTAGCTATTCTCTGTCTTTTGCCTTTCTATATGACTTTTAGGATTTTTTTTTCTAGTTCTGTGAAGAATGTCACTGATATTTTGGTAAGGGCTGCATGCATGGCATCTGTGTCCTGCTTTTGATGATATGAGCATCCTACCAATATCAGTTCTACTAATCCATGAACATGGGTGGTGTTTCCACTGTGCATTGTGTTCTTCAATTTCTTTCTTAAGTGTTCTGTGATTTTCACAGTAGGGTTCTTTAACCTCCTTGGTCAGGCTGATTCCTAGGTGGTTTTAGTTTTTAAAGCTATTATTAGTGAAACTGTTTTCCTGATTTCTTTCTCAGCAAGTTTGTTATTGGGATGTACAAAAACTATTGATTTTTTTGCCCATTGATTCTGTATCCTGCTAGTTTGCTAAATTTGTTTATCAGATCTAAACTTCTTTTGGTAGAGTCCTTAGTCTCAGTATTGGATCATATCATTGCAATGATGAAAATTTGACTTCCTCCTTTTCTATTTGTATCCCTTTTATTTCTTTCTCTTGCCTAAGTGTTTTGGCTAAAATTTCATGTACTAAGTTGAATAAGAGTGGTAAGAGTAAGGACCAGAGATTTAGCTCAGTGGTTCTGCCACCTGCCTCGCAAGCGCAAGGTCCCGAGTTCGATCCCTGGTACCAAAAAAAAAATAAATAAAAGAGTGGTAAGAGTAGATATCCTTGTTTCTAAATTTAGAGAAAAATTTTTCAGTTTTCTCCAGTTCTGCATGATTAGTATATAACATTTATTATGTTGTGGTACAATCCTTTTTTTGCCTAGTTTCTTTAGGGCCTTTATCACAAAGGGATGTTGAATTTTGTTGAAGGTTTTTTTTCTGTATCATTTGAGACAATAATGTGACTTTTATCCTTGATTTCTGTTTTTTCCTTGATTCTATTTATTTGGTGTATTAAGCTTATTGATTGGTGTATGTTGAACTATTCTTGCATCCCTAGAATGAAATAAACCTAATCATGGTGTATGATCTCTTTAATGTGTTGTATCCAATTTGCAAGTATTTCATTAAACATTTTCATGCCTATGCTCATCAGGAATATTGTATTACAGTATTCTCTTGTATCCTTATCTGGTTCGGTATTAGGGTATTTTTGGTCTGCAGAATGAGCCTGGACCCGTTCTGTCCTTTTCTATTTCCTGGAGTAGTCTGGGATAGATATTTCTTCCATCCCTATGTGGGGTTTTCAGTGAGCCACCTTCTTTTGTGGGTTTGATCCCCAGTACCTCTCTAAAAAGGAGAAAACAAAGCACAGAAGCAACAAAAAAAGACAAACTGGATACTGAGATACAGTACAAAAAAAAAATTTTAACTGACAACTGTGCCACCATTAACAATGGAAATGAAAAAGAAAAAAAAAATATGGAGTAAACTAAAGGTTTAAAATTAATAAAGATAATAATAATAAAACGAAAGGGTGGCCAAAGGACGACATGGAAGAGGCACGATTTTTTAAGAAAGGAATAGAAGATGAGAAAGAAGGAAAGAGATAAATCAACTAAAAATTAAATAAAGGAAAGGCGGACGGGGATTTAGCTCAGTGGTTTCACCACCTGCTGTGCAAGCACAAGGACCCGAGTTCGATCCCTGGTACCAAAAAAAAAAAAAATTAAATTAAATACAGGGGGCCGGGAATTTAGCTCAGTGGTTCCGATGCCTGCCTCGAAAGCACAAGGTCCCGAGTTTGATCCCCGGTACAAAAAAAAAAAAAAAACATTAAAGGGGAGAGGTTTATTTTTTCTCATGGTTTTTAGAAGATTCAGTTCATAGTCAGCTGGCTCCAAGGCAGAAATGCATGGCAGAGGGGCCTGGGTGAAGGACGCAGAGAGAGAAGGGAGGAGCTAGGGGCAAGAACACAGCCCTCCAGGTGCGCGCGCGCGCGCGCGCACACACACACACACACACACACACACACACCTGTGACCACCTCCCACCAGGGCCTGCCTCCTACTGCACACTCAGGCATAGGCTCATTAATGAACTAACCTGCTGGTGGGTGCAGCGCCCCATGGTGCGATCCCTCCCCAGTCCCCACTTCTGCACACACAAGGCTTTGGGGAACCTTTAGTTCTAAACCATAACACGACTAGTTCTAAACCATAACCTTCCCTGAGTTCACGTCCTGCAATGACATGGGTTGCTCCTGCAGCGGCGAGGCCTGCTGTTCATCCCTGGGGCTGCCAGCCCTCTCTGGGCTTCCTGAAGTGGGACCCCTGCTCCTCAGGGAGATCAGGTTAGTGTTGTGGACAACCACATATTTTTCTGTTTTGTTTTTCTGCATCTCTGTGATAGTTCACTGTGCTGTCAATTTGAATAAGAAACGCCCAGCTGGTTGGTTTATCCCACTTCCGGGTGTGGAAGACGGACTTACTGAGGAGGGAAGACCCGCCCTGGGTGTGGGTGGCACTGACCAATAGCCTGGATGGAATGAAAAGGCAAAGAAGGAGGGAGGCTCGCTTGTTTCTTCAGAGGGGCTCTGGGCTTTGCCGTTGCCTTTGGACGCCTATCTCCAGGCTGCCAGCACAAGCTCCTTAGCCTCCCCGTGTAGACTCTAGCTTTCTGAGAGGGCCTCCCGCCAGACTCCTCGGTGAGCTCATGGCCTTTGACTTTCATCCAGATCCTCCAGCTCTCCAGTGTGCACAGCCCTGCGCCCTCTGCCACACCTGGCCGCTGTGCAGCCGCCTTGTAAGGCACAAGCGGACACAGCATCATGTCTGCTCTTCAGTGAGCCCCGACCCACCATTCCAGGCTTCCCAGAGCTCTTCTCTTCCCCTCAAAACAGTCTGTCCTCTCCAACCCTAACTTTCCTCACACACAGAGCCCTTCAAAGGGCACTTCTTCCATCCTGCCATCTCAGCTGGAGGTCCCAGGCTCCTTGTCACGAATGCATGTCACTAGTTACACACTCGTCTGCACACTGCTGTCCTTCCTGGAGCGCTGCTCTCCTCTTTTTGCTGTGTCCCATTTCTCTGTATTCTTGCTGAGTTCTTCCCACCTGCCCTTCTCCCAGAGCCCTCCTCTCCTTTGCTGTCCCTTCTGGGGCGTCTCACTCACCCTCTTCAGGACAGAGCCAATGCAGGGCTGCTGAGCGGACGTGTGAGGTTTGCACACCACCGAGGAGGCTGGCAGACAGGCTCCCTTTTGAGCCATTTGCTTAATAGTAACCACGGCTCATGCTCGTTTGCAGTTGTGTGCACCAGCCACTTTGCTAAAGAGTCACAGTTTAAATAACCTGCCTGCCTTCGTTCAAGCGAGTTGAATGTATGTGCATAAATTAGCTGGATCAATGTACCTTTCAAAGAGCATTAGCTTATTCGATGGCTATTTATTTACTTGAGACAGTTTTCATCTGAAGTTCAGGCTGGTCCAGGCTTTGCTGGAACATACAGTGACCCTCCTGCCTCAGCTTCCTGAGTGTGGGGATTAGAGGCATGAACCACCATGCCCAGCTAACATGACAGTTAATTTTGATTGTCAACTTGATTGGCTTATAGGATGCCTGGGAGATTATAAAGCACAGTTCTGGCTGTCTGGGAGGGGCTTGGTGGCATGACTCTTGGGATGCTATCTGGTCCGTGGCCCTTCCTGTCCAGCTGTCCCATCCCCCCACCCCACCCCTGTCCTTCCTGGCCTCCACAAGGTGAGCATCCATCCCCCACCTCGCCCTTCTGCCCTGATGCTCCTGCCTTGAAGCCAGCCGACCACAGCTGAGACATCTGAGAGTGAATCAAAAACACCTCTTCTCTTTTAAATTATACAGGCTAGATGTTCTGTCCGAGCAACAAAAAAGGTGACTAGCACAGCTTGGCAGGGAGAAACAAAATGATACTTGTTATAGCTTATAGTAATAAAGATAAATGAAGAATCCCTTGCATCACATGCTATTTTATTTAAATAATTTCCTACAAATTTTCCAAGATCCAGATCCCTACTCCCAGCTTTTTGAGGGTATATCTCATTGGAGATCACCCTAAGACTCCCGCTGACCAGCATTGTACGATAACAGCACGGTTTAGACTGGGCTTCAGAACGCTTAGGGTGTGGTAACTGGACAATAAAGCGGCTACTGTGAACTCAGACGCTGCCGTGAGCAGCCACCTGAGGTCCACCCGGAAGTGCAGAACACGCCAGCGCCCCAGGGTTTCCCTCACACACACAGACGTGCATGGAACGGAGGTTCAGAATAATTTCCTTCCTCTTTGTGGACTGCTACGAGTTCAGGAAAGCGCACTCCAAGACTGAAATAAACCATGCTGCTCAAAGTTTGCTGCCTCCAACTTCGAGCTGAAACGCCCGGGGTTCGTCCTTTCCCCGCGATGGCAAAGTGCTTTGGATCTGGGGGCGCCGCTTCTCCAGTTCATACCTGGGTGGTCTGCAAGGCTTTGCTGGGTTCAAGAAGGAAAAGACAGAAGTGGGCGCTGGGGGAGCTTCTCTGGTGGAGAACGATCGCTCCTACAGGCGGGTGAGACAGACACCCAGGGCTTGGTGGTCAATGTAGCTGACAGTGATGACGTCAAGGTTTGGGGAGAGATATGAAGGCTCCAAACATATGGAAACGATCAGGAGATGGAAATGCTAATTACCACGATTTACACACTGGATAAATGCACAAAAGTAGCATATCACGCCCCATAAATATGCAGTTATCACATGCTGTATCCGGGTTTCGTCTGTGTGCGAAGAGCCAGGTGACTTCCTGGGCGGGGTCACAGGGTCACAGAGGCGGAGTCGGCCACTGCGACTTCTGCACAGAGCTAACTGCATCACTGCTCCCTGGGAGAACCATCTCGCTGCAGCTGCCATTGTACCTGGACATGGTTTCTCGCCAACCCTGCTGTGTGTATCATTAGTTTTCCAGCCAAATTCTAGAAAGAAGCTTCTGATTGGCTGAGGCTCAGTCATGTGTCCACAACTTACACCCAATCAAAAAACGGGCAAGTGAAGGGAATAGACACTTCTCAGAAGAGACTTTTCTCACTTGTCCAACAGCTAGTTTCTGCTTCCTACCAACTAAACGAAGTTTCTGCTCCCTAGCAAGACTCACAAGGTCAAAAACTCCCCAAATGTAGGAAAGGGTTCAGATACTGGGTAGCCAGGAGAATGACAGAAGTTCATTAGAACTTTTAACCCCATTCATGAGAATCACAGTTTTAAAGACATTTGCTCCACTGGGCTAACATCCAAAAATGTTCTTTGTTCTTGGTATGTCTGAGACCACAGTAATTTAAAGTTTCTAAACAACTTTTTCTTATCTTTCTGAGAAGGCAGTTTCAGCACCGCATTTCAATTTTCCAGATTTAAAGTAAAATTGAAACTGGGCTTCGCTTTAGGTGGTTGTGAACTGGCTATTTTGGAAAGAACTCAAATATTATCAACCTGGAGAAGAGTTTTCCTTAGAAGAATCTCCAGTGCCTGACCAGAGGGCCTATTCCTGGTTCCTGGGATTCTCAGGGCAGGTTCAGTTAGGCTCAGAGTAGCCCCCATTCAATAGACAGATGTTCACCATTATTTATGTTTTCAGCTACGCTTCAACCTGGGCTCCAAGCTCTTTTGGGTTCTGATCCAGTTCTCTATACAATGAGCCTGTGATCTCCTACAAATGAAAAATAGTCACCGTCCTGTCTCCCAGGCCTAGAGATGCAATTGCTCCATCAAAAGAACCTCAACCAATCATGCTGTTTTCAACTTTGTACTGAACTCTGCTTTCTGGTACCTATGCCTCCAAGTCCTGAACTTCTCAGGAGAGCAGATCTGCTTCGTCATTAAGTTTTCCCCTCTGCAGATACAGGTGGAAGTTTTTCTCTTCTTGGCTAAGGTACTTACTATCCTTTCACTGGGTCATCCATGGCTCTGTTTTTACTGTCTGTTTTTACTCTTGAGTTCATTTCTTGGTATGTCTGGTAATTTTTAACTGAATGTCAGATGTGGCATATGAACAATCATTGAAATTATGAGTAGTATTATTTCTTCTAGAAAGATTTTTCATGGTTCCATTCAGAGGTGGAGTAAGAGCATATCATTTTAATCCACTCAGAGGCTGAGCTAATTCAAGACTGAATTTCGGTTTGTATACAGTATAACCTACTTCCTTTTTACATTAGCTAATGGTGTATAGCCCAGATATATATTATATATAATATATATAATAAATAGCCTATTAGAATCTGTTGTGTAATTTAAAATACAATCATACAAGCTGGGGGTGGTAGTACATGCCTGTGATCCCAGCACTCAGGAGGCTGAAGCAGGAGGATTTCTTTGAGTTTGAGGCCAGCCTGGGCTACATAGTGAGTTCAAGGCCAGCCTGAACTACAAAGGGAGACCCTGTCTCAGAAAACGAAAAAAAAAAAAAATCATATAAAATTTAATCAGAGGAGAACTTTGTAAATCCCTTTTTTTTGAGACAAGGTCACACTATGTAGTTCAGGCTGGCCTTAAACTATGTATGGCTTCGAACTTACAGTGATTTTCCTGCCTCAGCCTCCCAAGTGCTGGGACTACAAGCATATGCCACCATGCATGGCTATAAATTCATACTTCTTAAATTGTGTATATTTAGTTTCCAGAAGTAGGTAAGGGAAAATGCACCATTGGAACATGGTCTAATAGTACAGAATTAAGGGCCAGGGATTTAGCTCAGTGATTCCGCTGCCTGCCTCGAAAGTGCAAGGTCTTGAGTTCGATTCCTGGTACCAAAAAAAAGGACAGAATTGACATAGCATTTTATTCTGAAGATCAAATTTTATTCACATATTATGGACAATAAAAATGATTATTTTTTCATTAAAACAAATTCCAATTTATTTTAATGCTAAAGATTTAAGCCAGGGCCTCACATATGCTAAGCATTCATTCTAGCCCTGAGCTACACCCCCAGCATATATATTATATATTATATTAGTGATCATATGCGACATTAATGAATTCTCTGACTCACAGAATTTCTCAATTCTGGTGGAATATTTCAGCCTGTGTACCCCAGAATTTTAGGCCAAAGTTTGAACTTTTGGGGAAAGCTTGAGAACTGATTGTCTCTAATTCTACTTCCTTCTTCTGTATTGCTGATTACCAAGAAATTCAGAACATGACACAGCACATGACATGACAGATCTTCATTCTACTTGATCCCATTGATAAATTTGTCCATTTATTTCATTATTGTATTCATGATTTATCATTTAATTACTGCTCTTTTATCTATGTTTAGTTTCTTTCTTATCTTTATTTATTAGATATACACTTACATGTTTTTATTTTTTTGCTACCATCTTTGGAGTAGTTGGGGTCATAACTACACCCTTACACTTATAAATATATATATATATATATTTTTTTGGTACCAGGGATCAAACTCGAGTCCTTGCACTTGCGAGGCAGGTGGCAGAAGCACTGAGCTAAATCCCTGGCCCATAAGTATATATTTTAAATGAAATTCAGACATTTTGTTAGGTCACTGAGAAATCAACCTCATCTAATATAAAGGGGTTGGGCCAGGGATTTAGCTCAGTGGTTCCACTGCCTGCCTTGCAAGTTCAAGTTCCAGAGTTCAATCCTCATACCAAAAAAATAAATAAATAAAGGAGTAGTCGATTAACATAAAGCACTAGTGTTTTAAAACTATTTAATAGAAATTATGTTGTTGAACTTTGAATGGAAGGTACTTTAAAATAAGCCAGGCATAGTGGTACATGCTTGTAATTCCAGCACTTGGAAGGCTGAGGCAGGAGGGTCGCTGTGAGTTTGAGGCCAGCATCTGGACTACATAGTGAGATACTGTCTCAAAAAAGAAAAAGAAAACAACAACAAAAAAGATTTGCATAAAATAAAAGCATTGTTTTCATGTCTTTGCCCATAGGTAAATTAGCTTTTCTTTTAGATTTCCCTGTGTAAAGTTTTTCAGATGCAGAAACATGGCAAAATTTATTATGGATATTTTTAGTAGTGTTTATATGTAGGAACTGCTTGATAGCCAGATGACGTAAAAACACTTTTACAGAGCAAGAATGTCCTGTCATGTCCCCTGAGTGGCAGAAGGAATATGTCAGTCCGACTCATAAAAATACTTTGGCTATCTTATTACCACCACACTGAGTAGCTTACTCAGTGCATTTGACTCTGGTGGAGTACAAAGACACCCCCACCCCCGCCAGGGCCTGGGATTGAACTCAGAACCTGGAGCTTGCAGGACAGGTGCGGTGCCACTGAGCTAAATCCTCAACCCTATAAAGACACTTTTTGGTTGGAATAAAGGAGAGAAATTTTAAACTTATATTGTAGATTGACAAATGGGGTTTTTTCTCCTTCTTTCCTTTCTTTCTTTCTTTCCTTTCTTTCTCTCTCTCTCTCTCTCCCTCTCTCTCTCTCTTTCTTTCTTTCTTTCTTTGCCAGGGATGTAGCTCAGCCGGGCAGTGCCTGCCTGACAAATGCAAGGCCCTGAGTTCCATTCCCAGACCAAAAGAAGAGAAAAAACTGGAGGCCTTTTGAGACAGGGTCTGACTAGGTACCTCAGGGTGGCCTTGAACTCAATATGTAGCCTAGGCAAGGCTCCAACTCACTGTGATCCTCCTGCCTCAGCCTCCTGAGTGCTGGATTACAAGGGTGGGCTACCATGCCCAGCACCTAATTCATATTTATTGCAAAAAGTTTACAAAATATAATTATCAGAGCACAATGACCACCATTTGAATATTTTACATCTCCTTCCAAACTTTCCCTAAACACACAGCAATGTGTATTTTACACAATTCGCGTGACGTACACTCTGCTGTGGAACCATCGCTTTGCACAGTGTTACACAAACATATCTCCTTGCGGATGAACAAGCTTTGCATCATCCTGTCAACAGCTGCAAGTGTCTCAGGATGGATTTAATAGGCTGGTCTTCCAATCATGAGCTCAGACATTTTCTTTTTCTTTTTCTCCTCTTTCTTTCTTTTTCCTTTTTGAGACAGGGTCTCACTATGTAGTTCATGCTATCCTTGAACTCACTATGTAGCCCAGACTAGCCTCGAACTCTCAGTGATCCTCCTGCCTTCATCCTTCCCAGCTCTAGGATTACCATCGTACACTATGGCACCTGGAAAGAATACAGTTTTTTAAAATAAAGTAAGACTCTCAGCCCCACAAGGGTAGAGCTTCTGGTCTTCCTCATGGCTGATGACAATGTCTGTCATGTAGTAAGTGCTCAATAAAAACCTGCTACTTAGAACGAGGGAATGGATTTCTGCTGCTTGACAGCTCCTGCGGCGGAGATTCTGATCAGGGGTTGGCATGCGCTGAGGCAGACAGCTTTTGATATGAAAAGTTAGTTTCATGTTGGGCTGAATTCCTTTAAAAATTGAAAGAACGGGACCAGGGAGGAGGGCAGAGGGCCCTTTGCTGTAGCCGGAAGTGAGGCGTCCACAGGGCCCGCTCACAGCTCAGAGCCGCTCCACTGGGTCAGTGCCGGGGGGGAGGGGACTGGCCAGTGCTGGGGTCTCTGCCTGGGTCGCCGGTGAGACGCCCCTGGGGTCGGCCTCGGGGTGGCGCCCTGGTGCTGTATCGAGGAGTTCTGGTGACTTTTATTCCACTGAGGAGATTTTGTGGACACATCGTCTCCTGTTTAAAACTCCAGTGGCCAAGGGGATGAAACTCAGAGCCACAAAATCTCATCGGCACAGCTGGGTGGCCTGAGAATTTGTGATTTTTGTTTGTTTGTTTACCGTTTGTTTTTGCAGTACTTGAGGATTGAACCCAGGGCCTTCGCACGGAGCTACATTTCCACACTGTTTTTATTTCGACCCCTTTTCTGAGACAGAGTCTTGCTAAGTGGCTCAGTGGCCCAGGCTGGGCTTGAACTTGCGACCCTCCTGCCTCAGCCTCCCAGACCACACCATCATGCCCATCCATGTCCGCCACGGTCTAACGATGTGACCTTCAGCAAGCTTCTCCGTGAGGCGGAAATTCAGCCCTCCCTCCTCGCTGCTCAGCATGGCGTGATTCCCCAGGCAAGCTTGCTCCACGGGATGTGTTCTAGCCCGGCCCAAGTATGTGCCGCTCTGGGCCGCATAGGGAAAACATCTACACTATTCCAAACGCACCAAATGTTTTAAGCGGTTATTGTCCAAATGTTTATTTTTTTTCCCCCGATGCTGGGATGGAGCCCAGGGCCACTCTTCCACCAGCTACATCCCCAAGCCCTTTTTCCCTGGGTCAAGGTCTTGGGCCTGGGACTCGTCATCCTCCTGACTCAGCCTCCAGAGTAGCTGAAATTCCTGGCGAGCTCTGCTTCGCCTTGAGGTCCAAATCACTTTGGAAACCAATCTTTATTTTGTTCCAATTATAAATACCCCGGGTGTTTTAGGAACTGGGAAATGCAGAATATCTGCTATTATAGACGCGGCAGTTATTTGAAGAGCTGGGAAGAGCAGAACGCTCGGCGCGCGCTCTGCCGCTCTTGTTCTCCGTGGCCTTGTTCCCCACAGCTCAGACGCGCACAGCTGGGTGTCCGCCGACCGGGTGGGCGAGAAGAGGGAGCAGCCCACGCCCTGCGGAGCGTCCTTCAGCCCGGAGGGAATCCTGATGTCTGCGATGGCGCAGGAGGTCTCGCGAGAGGCCGGAAAAGCAGACGCTGCGGCCTCATTTACCTGTGGCACTGACAGCACCGAAGGCTGTAACTCAAGACTGTGTAAGTCAAAACTAAAATTCCGGTTGTAACCCAAGTTGTTTGTATGTCAGGAGGTTGTTACTCGAGTGTCCACTGTATGCTCTAGGATGAGCAGGCCCTGGGGTCTGGGACGGCCCGGGGGAACAGTTGCTGGGTCAGGACTGGGGTTTGGGATTTGCACGCCGCTTGGCACACAGTCTGCTGCTGACCTCGCTGTGGTGACACTCGTGAGTGTCACAGCAACACATTGTACCTAACAAGCAGCTTTTATTTGTCAGTTAGACCTGGATAAATCTGAGGGAGATCATGGCGGGGCGGGGGGGGGGGGGGTTGCCTGTGACCCCAGCACTTGGAGGCTGAGACAGGAGGATGGCAAGATTGAGTCCAGCCTGGGCCAGCTAGTGACTCTGTGAGATCCTGCCCCAGAATACAAACAAGAAAATAAAAAGGGCTGAGAGTGTACAGCAGCTTCCATGCAAAGGCCCAGCACCACAAGCTGTAACTGATTAACAGTAAAATAAGAAGGAAAAGCTGGAGGTGGATACAAATGCAGGGGCCAGGTTTAATCGCTGCGTGGAAGGACCCGTTTTGGGGGACGGAGCTGCATCACTGAGAGGAGCGGTGTCTCCCCGCCTCCCGGGAGCCCCCAAAGCTCTGCCCCACAGGGGAGCCCCAGAGGTAGCCGGAAACCTCTCAGCAGCTGCGCGGGAAAGAAACGCGCTGGACGAACCCCATCTGCATGATGTCTTGTTTAACTCTACCAGAATATTCTCCCTTAAATAAGTAGTGAATAGAAAACATTACTACGGGCTTTTTGCCAGCCCTGGGGATTGGACCCAGGGCCTTCACACAAAGCTACATCCCTGCCCTCTTTCATTTTTCACTTTGAGGCAGGGTCTTGCTGAGTTGCTGAGTTGCCCAGGCTGGGCTCAGACTTGAGATCCCCCTGGCTCAGCCTCCCAGAGTGCTGGACTTACAGGTGTGCACCGCCAAGCCCAGCTGACTGAGACATTTCCTGTGGTCCCAGGGAGCCTTCAAATCTAGCGTGCATCCACACGCATCGCAGGGCTCGTTCTCAGGCCACGGCCCAGGCGCTCAGCGGTCTTTGGTGGGGATCAAGGGACAAAGAGGGTGGGACAGCTGCAGCGGAAGCCCTAAGGGCACCCCGGAAGTGACACCCCCTTGTCTCCATTTCCCCTCCATGAACCAGAAATGAGCCAGTGCGCCCTCCCTGACCTTCGATGCCCGAAGCCCCGGGCGGCCTGGGCTCTGCTTCCCCCGCCCAACTCCTGGCTGCCTCCGCGCCTGCAGATAGACTCCTGACGGTTTTGCCAGATGAGCAGTGTCATGTTTTTACTAGGGTATAAAATGAGGTTCTCAGCAGTGAGATTTCCCCAGCCTGCTTTCTGGTGATCTCTCAAGAGGCTGAAACCACCCTCCCGGGTGAGGGGAGACCATCTGGGTCCCAGCGGTGGCCCCCCTGCCACCGAACAGATGCATAGCACATTCGGGGGCCCACCCATGGGCTGTACAAACTGCCACCCGGGGCTTGGCAGATCTGAACACAGTTCTGGAGTCTGATGGTGACGGGCCGCCCACACTATGTCTTCTGGAAATGCCTGGAGCTCATTCTCTCCTTCATTCACATGACTCTTTCATTCAGTTCCTTTTGTTAGATGTCTACTGATGCTTACTACAGGCCAGGAACTTCGATTGGCACTGAGAGGTCAAAGGGTAAGCAGCAGGCCGGGCAGGTGGTGTACACCTTAATCCCAGCACCTGGGAGGCTGAGGCAGGAGGATCGATTTAAGTTCCAGACCAGTCTGGGCTGCATAGCAAAACCAGTAAGGTCAGGACTTTAATGGCTGTCAGGCTGCCCTTCCAAGGCCCCCAGCCGGGAAAGTCCCCTTCCAACCCCGGCTCTCAGAGTAATCATAATGCGAGCGGTAGTCGCTGGCTCTTTCGAATTGTCACCAACGAGAAGCTCTTCCAACCTTTGCGCACACTCGAATTCTCTTCCCTCAGAGGCCTGGGGGGTCACAGTGGAACTTCCGCCTCCCAGGAGCCAGTTAGCTCCCTACGGCAGCCTTCGAGATCAGAATGACAGTCACTCTGGTTTTTCTGGGCTGTTTTTGAGGTGGGATCTTGCTGTATAGCTCAGGCTGATCTTGATCTTGTGGTGACCCTCCTGCCTCAGCCTCCCAAGTGCTGGGATCACAGGCCTGTGCCACCACGCCCAGCTCAACCTCTCTGACACTCAGGTGTGGCCAAGTGTCTCTTCTGTACCCGCCAGACTCATGGGGACCCTAAACTTTGCTGGGGGCTTTTTCTGGGGCGCATGGTATCACCAGACAGAAAGGGTGTGAGAGCCTAGCCGACCCCAGTCAAGTGCAGGCCACGACACTCCCGGGTCTGCGGGCAGACGCCTCAGCCCCTCAGTGAGGGCCGCTGGTGGCTCTGGCTCCTGACACCGCACTCCTCTGCTCGTGAAGAGCTCACTGGCCCCAGTGGGTGCCGCATCAAAGGCGCCTGACCTTCTGCTTTGATGGTGGCTTCAAGGCCGCATCTTCCAAGCTGTCCCGGCCAGCTCAGACTCCCCTTAGCTGGATCCGGCCACTCCACCCGGCCCTGCCCCAGCCCAGCCTTTCATGTGGCTCCCAGTTAATGAGGACTGGGATGGCTCCAGGAGCTTCGGATCAAGTGCAAATTAATTCTGAAGTCCAGGATTATCTGCCCTGAGTGCTCAGGTCTGAGGCTCAGCAGCTTGGTGAGTCCATCGGGAGATGCTTCGCATGCTGACCCGGCCGCAGCTGTCCTGGCCACGTGGTGGGATTGCTCCAGAACACCATTACCCGGCTGGTACCAGGGCTGCTCGCCAACCTGGTTAGAGTACAGAGAGGTTGGGGGGCTGCTGGGGAGCCAGGCAGACCCAACCACTATTCCTGCCTCTCTCCATGCAGCAGTCGCTTACCTTTCACTTGGGTATTCGACTCCTGTTTATTGAGCAGCTACTACGTGCTCAAGATATTATCTGTTCCTACACTGTAACTTACGCAAGGTTCCTTGTTCAAAAACTATTAAGCTCATCAAGAGGGTGATGTGACAATATTAATCCGAGGTGGTGGCCCTGTGTGACAGCACCATGTGGCCATCAACCCAGCTCTGATGGTGAACTTTAGGTCTTATTCTCAGAGAGTGGGGTTTCTGGGGGGGAAATTCATTGATCACAGCTATTACCCTAAAATCATGACCGTGGGAGGAACTTCCAAGGAAAGCAGGCCTGGTGCTGTGAACACAGACAAGAGGTGTTCGAGGTGAGTCGAGGGGTTCTAGGAGGGCTTCCTCCAGGCAGTGCTGCTCTGGATGGGCTTTGAAGGCTGAATAGGAGTTCTAAAGTCCATGGACAGAAGTGAGCTCAAAGGAGGAAAAGTTGGAAAGGTGGAGATGGGAGGAGAAGCAGAAGAGATGGGCAGGCAGGAGCCTAGGGAGGGGCGTACATGGAACAGCGGGGGGGGAGGGGGGGCGCTGGCGAGGGTGTCGGGCTGCACACGGAGGTGGATCAGCCCCTGGACTCCTGAGGACCCCACCCCCAGCTGCACCCCTGAGGGTGGCCTGCACACAGCTCCGCCCCCCATCCCAGCCTCCCAGCCGGGCTCACTCAGCCTTCTGACCTCGGCCCCAGCACACACCTGGATGCCAAGTGGCCTCAACACTGTCCCCGTGTCCCAGTGCCCTCCTGGCCTCTCGCTGGGTAGCAGGTGAGTGTGCATGCGTGTGTGCACGTGCGTGTGTGCATGTGCATGTGCAACCCATCGAGCAGGACACGGAGTCAGGGCCCACGAGGCTCACAAGGGGAGCTGAAGGCGGACTGGGCGTCCAGCCGTCGGAGGTGGCGCCTCACTCTGTCGTTCGGGCAGCTTGGAACTCACTCTGCAGCTGAGCCTCGAACTCACCCAGACCCTCCTGCCTCAGCCTCCCCAGGGCTATGACTCCAGGCACACAGCCCGGCTGGAGTAGGGCTGCTCCAGGCACTGGAATCCATGCAGGGTTGCAGGACGGCAGCTCCGAGGCCCCTGTGCCGAGGTCTCGCCTTCCAGGCCTGGGGTGCAGGCCGGGTGCTGACTGTGTGCGTGGTCCACGTCTGCTGCATGCCTGTGGGTCTCCGAACACTGGGGAGCAGAGGGGCAGCGGCGGCAGGCTGAGTTCCATGGCAGGGTGGGCGTTGGTTCCCCAAACACCTGCAGCTGCAGGTGCCTGCCCAGCCCGTGCCTCAGTTTCCCCAGGAGGCGCTGATGGCATGGAGGGGATGCAGAGGAGCAGGAGGAGATCTGAGCAGGGAGCCAGCCCAGAGCAGACTTAGACCCCACCAAACACGTGTTAGAGTGATCTCCAGGCGGGCCGCTGGCACCCCACCCCCAGCTCCCTGGGAGGCCGAGGCAGGACAATCCCTTGAGCCCAGAAGTTTGAGGCCAGGAGGGCAACAAAAGGCACCCTGTCTCAAAGCAAACAAAATCTCCAAAAGGACCTGCTGTGGGTGGAGAAAAAAACAGAGAAGGGGGGAGAGAGAAGAGAGGGACAAACTCCGGGTGTGTCTGTGCGTGTGCATGCTGGGCAGAGTGGTGACATCTACATAAAGAAAGCTTTTGCACTGTGCAGTTCGGCTGGCCTGGAACTCAAGGCGATCTTCCTGCCTGAGCCTCCCACAGGGCCGGGATTACAGGCCCGTGACACCACGCCCGGCTTGGAATCTCCGGTGAATAAGTAAAAGAACCAGAACAGAAAGATATTTGTGCAAAGATGTTTATTGCAGCTCTATTGAAAAGAATATCTGGGCAAAATATTGAAAATAACTAGAATGTGTATTACTCTAGGGAAAGATGGAAAATCTGAGGTGCATTTATAAACATAATATTGTACCTTCCTTTTTTTTTTTTTGGTACCGGGGATCGAACTCGGGTCCTTGCACTTATGGAGCAGGTGGTGAAACCACTGAGCCAGATCCCTGGCCCTGTAAACATAATAGATCAGTGGTGCCTACATCGATAGGGAGTAATATTCACGACATGGTGAGTAAAAGAAGTTAGCGGCATGGCGATGTGAACAGTGCAAGCCATCTGAATTTTAGAAACGGAAAAACCTATCCA